GTATTAACCATGAAATCAAACCTTGTGGAAAATATATTAATGTAAAAAGAATACAAGTGTAGGGCAAATACCAAGCATGGGTTTGTAGCGGAATCATTCCCTCTAGAGGGGTGAATTTCATAGACGTAACAAAAACAATATACATGTAAAATCAACAGCCCCAAACTGTTGAAAATCAACTTCAAAATAAGAAAAACTACTTAAAAATGGATTAAGTTGAAATCCAATTCCGCATACTGTGGGTGTTAATTCCAGAGTTTCCAGTATTTAGGAGATAGCTAAATATGACTTTAAATCATGATAAAGTGTACATATATTTCCTCTTTTGCTAGAAAATTTGTGATAGAATGAAATTCCATCTTCCAAGTTAATTCAATGGCACTTCATGATATCGAAAAAGATACACAAATGACAAATTTAGAATGAACTAAAATTAGTACCACAACCAAGAGTTAAGAGCGAACAAGGTACAAAAGAAATTTAAAAATTAAGAACACGCAACCGAACAAATCCCACAAATTTTTCGAAAAAAAACTTTTTATTACAATAGATTCGTCAAGGGAAACTCAAATTCCCAACAAATTCACACACAAACAAAAGTAAAAATAGACAAAAGCAATTACCTGAAAAGATCTCGATAAAACTATAATCAAGGGATACAAGGATGGGGATCTGAAAGTTTTTCTAGGGTTTTATATCTTCTTGCGAGAGACAGTGTAGTCAACGCGATAGTTTAGATAATTGAATCGACTGAGTTATTTATGAAGTAAATAAATAACTGAATTCTAAAATAAAATATTTTTTTGTTACAATTTAAAGTAAACAAAAAGGTTTTGCTACGGTGTACAATCCCTCACTATATACGGCTCACAATACAATAGGGATGGTAACGGGGCAGGGAGGGCGCCCCGCCCCGTCCCGTTACCCGTTTAAGATAGGGCGTGGTAGGTAATTTTCCAGTTTATTCCTCGTTTAAATTTTTTTGAAATTTTTTTTGAAAATTTATTTTTATTACACATATTCATTAGATTTAGACAAATAATTTTAGTTGTTATTTTCTATTAGAATTAATGAAAATTTNGTATTAACCATGAAATCAAACCTTGCGGAAAAAATATTAATGTAAAAAGAATACAAGTGTAGGGCAAATACCAAGCATGGGTTTGTAGCGGAATCATTCCCTCTAGAGACGTGAATTTCATAGACGTAACAAAAACAATATACATGTAAAATCAACAGCCACAAACTTTTGAAAATCAACTTCAAAATAAGAATAACTACTTAAAAATGGATTAAGTTGAAATCCAATTCCGCATACTGTGGGTGTTAATTCCAAAGTTTCCAGTATTTAGGAGATAACTAAATATGACTTTAAATCATGATAAAGTGTACATATATTTCCTCTTTTGCTAGAAAATTTGTGATAGAATGAAATTCCATCTTTCAAGTTAATTCAATGGCACTTCATGATATCGAAAAAGATACACAAATGACAAATTTAGAATGAACTAAAATTAGTACCACAACCAAGAGTTAAGAGTGAACAAGGTACAAAAGAAATTTAAAAATTAAGAACACGCAACCGAACAAATCCCACAATTTTTTTCGAAAAAAAACTTTTTATTACAATAGATTCGTCAAGGGAAACTCAAATTCCCAACAAATTCACACACAAACAAAAGTAAAATAGACAAAAGCAATTACCTGAAAAGATCTGGATAAAACTATAATCAAGGCATACAAGGATGGGGATCTGAAAGTTTTTTTAGGGTTTCATATCTTCTTGCGAGAGACAGTGTGGTCAACGCGATAGCTTGGATAATTGAATCGACTTGAGTTATTTATGAAGTAAATAAATAACTGAATTCTAAAATAAAATATTTTTTTTGTTACAATTTAAAGTAAACAAAATGGGTTTTGCTACGGTGTACAACCCCTCACAATGGACGGCTCACAATAGGGATGATAACGGGGCGGGGAGGGCGCCCCCGAACAGAAATTTCCCTCCCCGTTACCTAGCTATGTCAACGAGTCGAGCCGAAAAAAAAAGCTCAAGCTCGGGCTCGGCTCGAGCTTTTTTCGGGTTCGAGCCCGGCAAAAAAAAATAAGGTTCGGCCCGAACTTTTGCCCGAGCCGGCTTGATTTTTTATTTTATTTTTAATTTTTTTCAGCTATTTTAGCTTAAATTTTTTTTTTTAATTTTTTAAATTAATCACGGGCCGGCTCGGTTCCACCGAGCCCGAGCTGGGCCTGGCTAGGGCTTTTTCCGGGCCGAGCCCTAGCCGTAGGAGCACCCGTCGCGGGAATCATGCCGTCGCCACCACTTAAGCAGCACTGAACTGCTTAATGAAGAGATCGGAGCCTCTGCGCGCGGAAGTGCATGGGCGGCGATCTGAAATCTTCTCCAATTTGTGGCGTTTCTCTTATGATTTTCTGGGGCCCATGGTTTGCATGGTAGCGACGGTGGTACGGCTTGGAGATGACGACGCTATGAACGTCGCTACCCGTGGCTCTGCTTGATTTTTTTTTT